TGTACAACGAATATAAGTTTTTTTAAGCTTCTTACATTTTAGCCAAAAAGCGAATAGCGAACATTTTATAAACCTCGCTATGTACACGTAGAAAAATATAAAAAAATATGCGTGATGGATTTTTTGACATTATAATAAATATTAGCAGTACCCGCGGCTTCGCTCGCGCTAAAACTACAAAAAATCTCTAAAAAAGTAGGTTTCATACAAACTTTCATCTCCTCTTTTACTTTTTATAGGATGAATTTTGAAAAAATGATAGAACATGTATTTATTTAATTATATTGAAAAGCATTAATACTATGTTTCAAATAATTCTGATTATAAATATTTTTAAGATTGTATTATAACGTGTTTTCCCGTGGGAATTAGAGAATCTCCCAATAAAAAGTAGCCTATGTCACTCTCCGGCCTTCCAACTATCTTCACACAAAAAATCACGCCAATCGGAGAGACCCGTTTCGACTTGAAAGAAGGTCAAACAAACACACTTTCATATTTATAATATTAGTATGGGTATGGGTTAGTTAATTTGTGTGGAATTGAGGTGTTATTTTGCATGTAGAGCTGCAAAAGTTATTTTTTTCCTTGATTTGTAAGGTAAGGTCATTAGTGAAAAAAATGGAATATATCTAGCTGTAATTATAATATTTACGAAAATATATAAGATTGGGGATTATGTGGGAGTAATATAAAATATATTTTACTGTGTACAACATTATGTAAATATCTTGTTGCATCGTGAACATTTAACATATGGTGCCTTTAGTTGTGAGATGTTTGAAACTACTTAAGAAACTTGATCTTTCAGTAAATGCGCTCAACGTTCGTGAAAAAGTGCATTATAAGTCTTACTTAAAGAACCAGTTTCGTAAAAAAGTTTGTGTTTATTACATATAGATATATTGATTTATATAGTGTACGTCTATACTAATATTATAAATGTGAAAGTTTGTGAAGATTTATAGATGTCTAGATGTATGGATCTTTGTTACTCTTTCACGCAACAACTGAAATTTATTTATATTTTATTAATGAATTTTAATGAAAATTTACAATATTATAGCTCATACGTCAGAACAACACATAGACTACTTTTTATCCCGGAAAAATGTACGGTTCCCGTGGGATAGTAAGGTAAGTAGTAAACTATAAAATGACTAATAATGGAATCTTTTTTTTACTTAATATGAACACTACATAAGTTACATATGAACACTTATAGATCATATACATATAGATTAAATCGCAGTCTTGTACGTAAGATTTGGTTGATAATGGTGAATAAAGTGTTGAAATACTACATAAAGTGTACCATATCGTAACCAACATCCCGTATAATTGGGATGATTTTGGGACAACCTTTAACTTGCTAAAGTAATTTAGTCCCTTTTAACTTGATATTGTTGTGAAGTAATATAACTTTAGAGCCAAATTGCGGTACGGGACGCTTATGATCATACAAAGGCTGATACGGAACTAATTTGTCATGTAAGCGTAATTTTTGAGTTTACAGTTTAAACTTGGTCATACTAATTTAATGGTTAAATCTAATCTATCTATTTTCTTCTATATACATAAAAATCGATGTATGTATGTTTCCTCTGGACTTTAAAAGGGCTGAAGCGATTTTGATGAAATTTTCAGGCAATCTTCAGATTAGCTCAGCAGGTCCTGTAAAGTTTGGTACGATCGGATTATTAGAAATGATTATAGTCGTTTGAATGCGGGTGGAGCCGTGGGCAATGCTAGTATTTTATAATAATAATGATTATCTCTGTAAAGTAACAATCCCACGGATTTTAGCCTCCTCTCTAATGAGTCAAATGTGGATTGACGAATTTCACATGTCTTTCTAAAACTAATTAAAAGTTAGTTAATATATTAGTTAGTATAGTTAGATAGTAAGTAAAAATTATCTTTGTATGACTAAGTAATTTTGAAAAGTCAGACCGACAGAGTTTAAATGTTTTGTAATAATATTTTTAATAAATAATATTTGTATGTGCGAAAACTAAAATATTATCAATAAAGTGTTCACAGATTATTCTCCATTTTCTATTAAATCAATAATAGTATAAACAATTTCGTTAAAGAAACGATTCTATTGACGTCGAGCGAATTCAATCGACCTGCTGAGGCATTCAGAGCAGACTGTATGAAGGAAATATATTTTGAACGACCGACAGTTGAATATGAAAGAAATAGCAGCAGGTATTGGAGTTTTCAATACAATGTTGTATTTTATAAAACAACTATAAAGCTTATAGACTTTATTTATATAAATAAATAAAGTCAGCAATACGTGTATGTATACTTTCATGACATCCTGACTTGGACCATTTAAAGAATATAATTCTTATTATTATTTTTATAAGTAAGTAAAATGTAATCTAAAAAATGAAAATAGTTTAAACGTGAATTTGTGTCTTTTTAGGGTTAATACCTCAAAAGGAAAAAGTTACCTGTATTCATCTATCTGTGTCTATGACTGCTTATTAAGACCTTTTTTCTCAGAAACGAGTGGAGCCTGGAGGTATAAAGTTGAAATTAATATCAAATACTCAAATCTGTCATCCGTTGGAGCTTTGAAAGAATCTAATTTCTAAGTCAACGATATTGTCAATACGATATTGTCAATCAAAAGATACGGCCGTTTACGTTGCATAGATTGACAGCAGCAAGGGAAAAAACTTATAGGGTACTTCCGGTTGATTTAGAATCATGAAATTTGAGAAGAAGCAATGTCTAGCACAAATAAAGGAAAAAAATCCGAAAATATAAATAGTCACATCATAATTATTTTTTTTGGCGATTATAAACTTATTTTAATGTTCCATGCTACGGGAACCGGACTCGCTCTTGACAGATTTTTTCTTTGTCAAACAACAAATTTTGATATTGGATCTCACGGTTAAGCGGATTAAGCTTTTATGGAATGCTTGCGTGCTGTTTCACGTATAGATATTTCGTATAAAGCTAAACTACTGTCCGTACTAGAATACCTATCAATTTTCATAGCAATCATTTGAATTACGCAAATGTTTGATTCACTGCAATGCTATGTAGTGGCGTGTTATAGCAACTTTGATAGCTTATAGACCTTTTCCATGTAAAACACTTAATATTGTAAAGCAATTGGTAAACAACAGTTACATTTTCAATACATATAATAAAATTGTAACTAAGCCGAATCTGTACATTAAATATTGTTTTAAAAATCTTCTTGAAATAAACATTATTATCGATACAGAGGCCAAATATATAGTTTTTAGAATTTTTGTCTGTCTGTCTGTCTCCGCATCACAGAAAAACCACTGGAGGGATTTTGATGAAATTTGGTATGGTGTTAGCTGGTTATCCGGTTCAACATATAGGATACTTTTTATCGCGGGAATATGTCTCATTTCTGAGAAAAAATCCAAAAACTGCAATGCAAGGGTATACTAATATGTAAAACCTAGGAATTTGGTTTTTGGTCATCTGAATGCGGGTGGAGCCGCGGGCAATGCTAGTTATCTATATAGATAAAAAAATAGTTTTGCTGTTTATTTGCCATTTTTATATAAAAAAAAATTGAAATTCTATTCTTTAACGATCGTAGTATTCGTATAAACTTATTTTCTCTGCTGTCAAGTATATTTTGTTGTTGTAAATAAGTTCAATTCAATTTTGTTTTCGATTTCAATCTAAAGGTAGTTTATCTTATAATGAAAGTTTTGTTTATTTAAGACTTTGAATATCCTATTAGAAGTTTTGCCACTACATTTATTATTGTGTATATTTATTTTATTAGAAAATTAGTTATTGATTGCTATAACTACTTGAATTTTATAAGTTTTGTAGCTTTGTGAAGATGATACGCGGTGATGAGAATATTCTTTAGTGAACTGGGTAATGTCACCATTTTGTTTGATATTTCAAAACGTCGCATTTATGTGGTGATAAAATACGGACTTATGTTTTGAACACATCAGTAAAAACAACAACAGACTTTATTGTTGTTTTTACTTATATTGTATGTTGTTGTTATCTATACAAATAAATAAAATTAAAATGTCTGTTTGTAATGTCAAAGTAATTTTACTGAGTACATATTAAAGTATATACGGTACCTATAATAACAAAACAGTTAGAATGTTTTGTCTGTATGTCTATTTGTGCCGCCTAATCTCCGAAAGAGCTGAATTGATTTTGACGGGATTTCCGCTGGCTGATACCTGGCTTTCTAAGAAATAATTCTGTCTACTTTGATTTTAGCAAAATAATTAAAGTTCCGCGCAAAAAATAAAACGCATGAAATCGTGTAAAAAATCCGCGTTCCTAGGTACGCAGCCGAACGAAACGAGGGTAATTCATAGTCAGAAACTAGTCAAAATAGAAACTATTCACAAATATATATATTGAAGCTGAAGTGTAGGTGCTAAAGTATATATTTTTTCTAAGCTCAATTTAACGTCCAAAATAAAATATTTATTTGTAGCCCAACTACAGTGCCAGATGTTAGTATTAGCATTCTTTTGTATCTTTCAACAATCTATATTTCATGCTATGTTCAAACAAAGCAAATTTTCATTTGAATTTCTTTGTTATTTATTGTATATTTACATTATTATCGTCTTAGCGAATAAAACATGTGTCGGTTTACGTTATCTATGCTGGTACTTGCGGGTTTGATTTCTGCAGCATAGAAGTGTCTATTTCTATATCATTTTCTCATTACTGGTTACAGTAACCATTTTAATTGGAACCAGCTTCTATATCGATTCTATCATACGTCAGGTGATTGTAGACTGACTATATGAGTGGTTAATCTATACATATAATAAAATTGTAACTAAGCCGAATCTGTACATTAATTATTTTTTGGAAAATCTCATTGAAATTGTCATTATTATCGATACAGTCTATCTATACTAATCTTTAAAACATACTTAGGGACGAATTCGAGTGAAGCGAGAGTGAGTCGCTAGTAAAGATAATAAAATTCATACTCACTATATTCCAGGCTTCAAATCTTTTGGTTCTGAAAAATGCGATTCTTCATCAATCAATTGTAAATTAATGTTCTCATTCTTTGTTTGAAATGTCGTAGGAACAGTTTTCTCTTCTAACAAAATATTTTCGATTTCAATACCATTTTCTTTCCTTCCATTACTTTCTAAAATTCGTTGTTTTATAGACGGGCCTCTATTAAAAGATGAGGCAAGTAACGTTTCTTGTATAGTTTCATTCCCATTACATATTTTATCAGCTTTGTGTGTTGGCATTCGACCTGAGTGGTAGCTAGTTCGTACTCCCCCTGTATTTTCAAAGAATGGCAACACCTGTTTGAATTCTTTTCTAAAGTTTTCATTCAGCCATGCATATAGAAATGGGTTGTAGCATGTGGAAGCCATTGCCATGGAATGTGCGAGAAAGAAAGAAACATAATAGTAATTCCACTCCGTCATTTGAGCGTAGAAGTCGTTAAATATATTAATTAAGTTTAATGGTAGCCACGATATACCAAATATTCCGACCATAGATATTAGCATTCTGTTTGTCCTTCTCTTCCTATCTCTATCTGCTTCTTCTCTTCTTGTATTCTTAGCACCTGGCTTCGCCCTTGCTCGGTCGTTTAGTCTTATACTAACGCATGTATAACAAATTGCTATTACTAAAAATGGTATTAGGAATTGTAATACCGTTGTAAATACGCCGAAGATCTTCCTTGACTTATCTGAAGGCCAGCTTTCTTCGCAATAGGTTTTATTATTCGTAATTTGTATCCCCATAAAGAGCCCATAAGGGCATGTAACAACTAAAGAGAATACCCATATAAATACTATTATGAATATACAAGTATTAAGTTTCATTCTTGGATGAAAAGGGTATATAATCACAAAGAATCTGTCTATAGCTATTGATGTGAGTGTAAGAGTGGATATGTAGACGCTGGTTCCTTGAGCGTATGGCATGAGATGGCATAACAGTCTTCCAAAGACCCATCGTCCAATAAATGTGTACATCGGCGTTAAAGGTACAGCAAAAACACAGAGTAATATATCAGATAGAGCCAAATTCGTTATGAAGAGATTTGTAACAGTTTGCATCGCTCGGTTTCGGAACACCACATAGCAAACTAAGACGTTACCAAACACGCCAAGAACAAATATTATTGCATATAGAATACAAAAAGCTATTTGTACAACTTTCACATCAATAATGTCAGTAGTTCGATTTGATTTGGGCTCATCTATCACTTCAACTGATTCACCAGTTAGTGTTTTTGTTAAGATCAAGACTCCCCCTACAAAAGACGTGCCGTTAAAATTCATAGTAGCTGAATCATGTTCACTGTTTGTCGAAATGTAATCGGAGCTGCCATTGTATGCCGACAGCATCTTATTTATAACATTGGCTGGTTGCTTCTAGAGTCACTCGCCAATCCATCTGAAATGGAAATAAGGTGTATGAGTAAAACAATCTAATTATACAAACTTGAACGATGTCTGTTTGTTTCTTAGTGTTTGTGTTTCTAAAACTTTGTTAAGTTAATGTAAGTCTGCTACAAATATATTATGATATTATAATTACCATGAAATAATAATAGAATACATAATACATAGGGACTATATCAAATAAATATTGATAGATATACATTTTTTAGATAAAAAATAACTGACATCAGTAGAAGCTACAGTAAAATTTGAAGAAATACTTAATATTTTCATTTAATAATCGTCAAATATTATGTAAATTTCAGAAAATTGAAGCTTTCTTCGAGGATGAAAACGAAAATATAAACAATTGGTTCGTGAAATCACTCAAGAATTTCAAATAAGGAGATTCCTTTTTAATAAACTGCTCATGTCTTAATATTGAGTAGTGTTTTATTTAGTTATGTCTTATTTGTTATAGGTAATGGCCACGTTTTGAAACTTAAGAATCATAAGTATTAAACATTCGCAACCGAGACTACGGTTCACCAAATGATCAGTGACCATCAAATAAATAAGTACTACTAACCTATTTATTTGTATATATATTAGAGGCAGTGGTAGCCCAGTGGTAACGCGCTCGCTTGAGAAACCGAGTAAAGCGGGTTAAAAATCCCGGGTCTCGCACCTCTGGTATTTTCATGTGCGAATCATTTCTAACATGATTGTCACTTGTCTTAACGGTGAAGAGAAACATCGTGAGGAAACCGGTATGTCTGAGAGAATCTAGCAAGTTTTCAAAAGACATGTGAAGTCCGAACTCGGCCAGCGTGGTGGACTATGGCCTGATCCCGCTCGTAATGACGGGAGACCCGTGCCCAGCAGTGGGACGTTAAAAAGGGCTGAATACATACATATATAACCTATTTATTTGATGGTTACCTCTTTGATAGTTTGGATAGATTGTACCTATTTATATGATGGTCACTGACGCGTATATACGGTATTGTAAGGTAACGCAAAGTATAATGTGAATAGTAATTAGCGAACATGGTTGCTATTGCGGTCCCCTAGTGCGGAGGCTTAACCCGACTAGGTAAGGTACCTTTTTAGAATATGACAATGAGACAGATAATGTGGTTGTGAAAAAGCATTGTGTTTACATAGAGCCTTGTTTTTTTTTTAATATAGGGATTTTTGTACTACCAGTTAAAATGTTAATGTAAGCATCTAGTAATCCATAAATCAAACGTAATATTGTATTGTATTAGCAGGTATAAAAGTAGTGGTATGGCTTGTAATTAGTTCTAGATGAAAATAAAATATTTGAAATCAATTTAATACTACCTTTTACCCATGGTTTTTCTTGTGTGATAACCGTGGGAGGATCAAGGGTAGCCTATGTCAGATGCCAGGATGCAATCTATGTCCTTGCCAAATTCTATCGAAATCTGTTTAGCGATTTAAGTGTGAAAAGGTAATAGATAGAGTTACTTTCACATTTTATAATATTAGTATGGATTAGTATGCAATAATTTATACTATTGTCCATTTTATTATACATATACTCTTCAAAATGGTTCTATAATATTTGTTTCAAATTTCATTTTATTTCATACATATGTACAATGTACTCGTACATGCAATTCATATTAGAAGTAATCACCTAAATTGAATTGTGCGTAAGAACCGTAAGCTCTCCATTAATTTGTGACAACATTAATTTACTTTTTACGACTCCAAATGTTTTTGTGTTGCTATTACCTAAGGTTTTAATATAACGTGTTGAGTTACAAACGATAGACGATTTTCATTACTTTCTTACAACGATAAATTGTATTTCTTTATCTCAGATCAAGTAAAAAAACCTAGATAACGCATTTAGGACAGAAAGTGTAACCATTTTTTAAGTATGTGTGCGTGACTCATGTGTTGACACTTTTAAAAAAAATCTCCCTTAATATCCTGTAATATAGGTAATATGCGAGTAAAATAAAATAAAAAATAGATGTAAAATAAAAATAAGAATAAAATAAAAACGTTTTTATTTACAATAAAATTGTAAATATGTATTCGTTGGCAATCTACAACCAATATAATATTTGGCAGTAAAAAATAGAAGGTAAGTACTCGAAAATGTAAAATTAAATATTTAATAATAATTTAAACGTCTACTTAATTATTTTGCTATGAATTTATCTACAATTTACCCCACATTTTCGGACCAGTAGAAATACGAACTTCTGTCAACACTCTCCCATACGTTATTTCGGGACATTGTCATTATTTATGTCAAACAACCTCAAAATTGTGTTAGAATAACATAAAAAAAATGTAGCACCGCTCAATCTCATTCGTGTTTTCCTCACAAAACGTGACACTGGCAGAATGGATTGCGTCTGTTAGCGCAACTATAAACAAATAAAGAAAAAAAATTAGTATTGTGTGTAGTTGCATGTGAAACGATATTCCATCAGACTTTTCGTTCACTTTAGAATTGTTTTTACACCATTTAATTACACAGGACAGCATTTTTTAGGCAAACTTAATGTACGACAATGCAACGAAAATGAGCATAGTTTGGTGCATATGTGTGCTGTGTTTACATGAAGGAGCAGACTTTTTTGGCTTCAGTAATAATGAAGGCGGTGCGTTATCTACCTTTTTTTACTTGATCTGAGTTCTTTATATAAATTATGTACATCCGTATTACAATATTGACAAAGACATCAAAATGACTTGTCATTTTATTCTCCAGTTTACGTTTTCCAGGCAGCGTAAATGGTTTTGTCATGTACAAGACGACAGCTGCTATATCAAACTACAGTCTGATTTTTAATTCGACGGAATTCTGACATTTCAAAAGTGTTATCAGCTTTGAAACATTGTCACTAAAAACGGAAAGCATTTTAGCAAAAAATAACCTTTCTTGAATTTAAGGTTTCAATTAGAAAAACTAAGACTTAAAAAATTATTGATAACTCTAAAATGGTAATTATATTTTTTATTATTGAAGTTACAATAATTATAACGGATTTTTTTTCTATTACAGGAATCCCTGTTCAATTATACATAGGTTGCAAGCCTTTTTTAGGAAAACCCTTTGTTTGTAAAATCTTTGCAATTGGAAAAAGAATTAGAAACTACCAAAAAGACAGGTCCACAACGATCATATTTTTCATATATTTTTGTTATTTTATATTAAAAAAATACAAAGCAGAAAAGGTTTATGATATATGAATTGTCAAAGAATGATAGCTGTCATATTTCCGTGGAATTAAAAATCAGATTTTAATATTATAAATGCGAAATTTTGAGAGCGCGTATATTATTTTATTGCACGATAAAGGACTTGGATAAAATTCAAAACAGAGATAACTTATATTATGGATTATTACATAGACTACTTATGATCGACAATCTACTATATGGCTGATGGGGAAGGAAAACATCGTGATGAAACCCTCTTGTCTCTGAGAGAACTTAACAAGTTTTCGCCTACGCCCCTTTTCGCCCCACGCTGGCCAAGTGCGACGTTACATTAAGACATGTGATGGACAAGGGATAGCCTTAGGGCCTGATGCAATCGTATTGAAGGGAGGCCCGTGCCCAGCAGTGAAACGTTAAAAAAAGCTGAATACACACTATGTAAGTGAACATGCCTAAAAATAAATCCGAAATTTGGACGTAATAAGAATGCCAACATGTTACCCTGAATATCTTATAAAATTTTCAAACATATTTCATGGAGCCGGTAAAGGAATTTTTGGTAAACATAGACAATTACTTTATTCAATTTAATTCTCGTGTTAATGAAGTAGTCCAGTTGAGCACAGATTAAAAATTATTTAAACAAACTAGGGAAGGTCAGGGGAGGTGAGTAAAGCAATCACAAGTGCTTCACACTTTAACACAAATATACTCGTACCACAAACTGGAGTAATATAATACCTGGAAAACGTTCAAAAGCTTTAATTTTATTTTTTTTAAACAAATAAATCTTGATTGAAACAAAATGTCAATTTCAGATTCGAAAAATATTTTTAACAATCGCTTACTCCTAATAACAAACGACGCAACAGACACCTGTCTGAAAATGTACTGTTTTATGTTCACTATAAATTTCCTGAGTAAAAGGCTTAAGACTCAGCTGATCACTTAATGTCTGTCCATCATACTCGTAATGGCTTTCAATTATTTTATTTGGCCGAATAATTGTTATTTATTGTGGAGATTTTGATTTATTATAATCTTACTGTATAAATCCTAGTACCTTATTTAATATAAGTGCCATTTAAGTAGTAATGGCATGGCAAATGTGCTTGATTTTACAAAGAAGCAATGACATTTGTTATAAATAAATAAAATAAAGTTATAAAAAGTAAAAAATATAGTATAAAGTAATAAAAAAAAATCGTTCCTAATTGTATGGCAAGCACAAGTCTTACTCGCTAACCGAATTTTCAGTACCACTAAAGTAATTTGTTAGATTTAAAGTAAATAAGACTATCTTTTCGGATTTTTTCGTGAATTTGTTCTTGTTGGATTGGTTTCAGACGTTTCGAATGCTGTATAACAATCATGGGGACGATCAAAATAAATCCGCGAAATAATCCGATAATATAGTTTTATTTAAACTGACGGGTTTTTAGATAGTTTTATTTAAAATTTATTTAAAAAATAATAATATCCGAAGCATATAACTCAGCAACTATTCAAATGAATTCACTTTGAATCATCAGACTTATTTAAAAAAAAAAAAACGTATACAAAAATGCAATGCGTATATAAAATTTTTACCCCTGAGTTATGGAATAAAATACGAGTTACGAGTCTTCATATTTTGTATGAAATTAAATGCTAACGTCGAAGAGTAGGAAAAATCAATTTTTTTTAAAAGCTTTTAAATTGATTTGTTCTTAAAAAACCATTACGAACCTTCTGTTCAATCATCTTTTTCATCA